TGAGTGTGTATTTATATGTGTATATATGCATACACACGTGTGTGCATATATGTACATGTGCATGTGTGCACACATGTGCCTATATCACATATACATGTGTGAACATACAAGTATGTAACTGACACACATATAATATATACAGATATATTTTATATGCATGTATGTATATGAAATAGATAATTTATTTAAATACATATGCAGTGATCATTAGAAATTAAATAAGTATTTTAAAATTTATTTTGGTGCAAAAGCACTTAAGTATACATGATTCAGGCTATTGAACTATTTCTCAAGCAAAGCCATGGCTCCTTTCAGGAGGCCTTTTCTAGAGCTATTGACTCTTCTAGTAACCAGTCCCCTTGCCTTGGATTTTTGGACTTCACTGTTGCTTATTGTAAGCTATCAGGATTCTGTGTACTCTGTTAACAACTTTGTAGACAATCCTTTTATTAAGTTCTCCTCACTCTTATAAAGTACAACAAACAAGATTTTTCAAAGAATATACCAACTGAGATTGAACTACTAAATAAGTGTCAGAACCCTACCTTAATCTAAGACTGCCAGCATCAAAATATTATTGTTAACTGCCATGCCGGACAGGCCCTATTATATTATCAATTATTTGCATGTGTGTTTCATGCCTCATCCTGGGGCCGGAGAATGTGTATGTTAGTATTAGTCACCCATGGGCCCTTGCATTGACATGTAATGGGTGCTCACCAGACACATGAGAGAGAACTAATACTTTCTAAGTTGTCTTCGGGCAACAAAAGCTCACATAAGAGCTTTTTTTAAAGGATATATATTATCTAAAGATTCTATTAAAACCTGTTCAAATGTTTTAAAAGAAGAAAAAAGCTTTTATTGACATAGCTGCAATCTGTGCAATCTACCTTAAACAAAATTAGGATGGAGAATTGATGGGCTTGGTGTGGGAGTAGAGCCTTTCAAGTCCGAGTCCCCTAACTCTGTGGGGCATGATGTTTATGCCCCACATGCTGTGTGGGGATGATCTGAGTTGGAGGTTCCAGTTCAGTTACCTGGCTCCCGCCTGGCAATTGTTAGGTAATTTAGATTTGAGTCAATTTAATTCAAATGCAAAGATTTCTTCCAAGTGGAAAAAAATTTGAAATGAAAAGGCTACATACTATTTCCCAAAATAGTATATACCAAATGTGTAGCCTTGTATAGATGATATGATTGGTGTTTTCTGTGCTTTATGTATTTTGACATTCATCGATAAAACATTTTACTTGTTATCAAATTAAGTGCAGAAAAATAATTTCTATATGTCATTATGAGAAAAATAAAATTATAATAAAGCTAGTTATTTTGGTAAGATTTAAGAGAAGAAAAATGCGTGAAGGAGAGGGGGAAGAAGGGAAGGAAAGAGAGACATAAATCACAAGAACGCATTAAATTAAAACTATCTCTCTTAAACTATTAGAACCAGTGACTTGTTTGGTATGTTTTCTCCTTTTTGCTTTACAAAACATCATTAAACCTGCTGCAAGCTCACACTGGTACAAAAAATTATGCTGAAGAGTTATAATTATAGATTTGATGTTCAGGTTCCCATGCACGAGTTATGCTTTTTTGTTTGTTTCTTAAACACCCCAGTGCAAACACATGTTGAATTATTTGGACTATGTCATTATTTAATTGTTTACAATATATTGTGATTAAAGGCATTTAACAGTCTTTTGGATGTCCAGAAAAATAACTGAGTAAAAATATTAAAATAGAGCTGAATTGATAAATCAGCCATTTGAACAGAATCTACACTGAAAGAAATAATCAGTGTATGTCTATTAACCACTGTTTATAATAGAAAATGTTTTCACTGTCTTCTCTTAAACAGTAACTTTCTATTTTCCTATGTATCTTTAGTGATACACAGACAGTTCTAAAACTTTCTCAGAATGCAGCGTGCTGACATTTCCTAAGACTTTCCAAGATCTATGAAACAGTATGTATGGCTGTACGTTCATTGTCTTGTTCAAATATACATCCCACACAACTCAAGGAGACACAAAGGACTGAAGTGGCACAATGCTGCCTTTTAGCAGCTCCCATGTTGTCAGTACATCTTACATGAAATAATGCATCTTTATTGTTTACTGGGTCAGTAATTTTAATATGTTGTACCATATTTCTCTAACATAAGAAACATTATTCTAAACCTATGACATATGTACTTTTTAAAGAAACACTAGGCTCAGAAAAACTGGGTTATCTTAGTAACAGAGATCTTGTGTATGTTTCAAGGTACATGAGTAAATACAATACAAAAGGGAATATTGGAATTTTATCACCATGGCGATTCAAAACCTATACACTTGTAAACAGTATGCTAGAGAGTATTTATCCTTAAAATACAAAGAGAAAAACTGAATGGAATTGATATTTTTAATAGTAGTTGATTACTAAGGGCTCAAATCACTGTCTTATCACTTAAGATGCCCTAAATTCAAATAACAGAAATTCCAGACTTAAATTTCTTAAGTCTGGAAGAATTTCTAAATTTCTTAAACATTTGGAAGACTTATTTTTACACCGAAGACCTCACTAAGGTGGAGTACCTACAGGGTTGGTTAATCTGTTGCTCAATGTCATCAATACTAACTCAGAGCCCTTTCATTTTAGGATCTCCTATGATCAGTGCTGTGGACTTTGTCCTTCACGATTCCCTTCTTGTCTGAAAGGTCACTGTGGAATCTCTAAGTGGCATATGCAGGTATATTAACAGCCAGCAGAAGAAAGGACACTTTCCTTCTGACTGGTCTCTTTTGACTGGTAAGGATCTCTGGGGCAGCCATACACTTGCCCCATGACTGACTGACTGTAACACCAACTCGATCACATCCAAGGGGATTCTGATCACCATGCTAGGTTAGGACCAACCAGCTAAATAGGTGGCTTTAGGAGTTCTGTCACAAAGGACAAAGAGCACAGGCACGAGGGGGAACAGAACCTGGGTAGTACCCAAGGTTACTCTACAATGTCATAGTTATAAAGTAAGTATACCATGAAAAGGGTATTGACAAAATTTCAAATGATATAAATGCTTAGAGTTGCTTTCTTCATTTATGGTAGTTTATCAAAACATTGATTAATAAAACTCACTGCAAGGGAAAATTCATGGACAGGTAACTAAATAATTGAGACATCTTAAGATAAGATATCCTCTAATTGAGCACTGATTTAAAAGTTGGCCTGTTCTCGTGTCTCTGAACCCTTACCCTTCTTCCCTCCCAAATAATTTGGAAATGTTTTACCTATCTGTACTCTAGAATCAAGGACTTAGCTTCACACATAGTAAAAAAAAAACTTTGGTATTTTGCAGTCCAAGATTATATATCAATTACAGCCAGCCTTGTCCATTTCCATTTACTCTTTTTTATTAATTATTCATTATAACAAAAAATGTTTCATACTATGGGGAAAATATGGCAGGTACAATTAAATATGAATAAAATGTGTATTATATATATTTTTAAAAGAGAAATATTTATTGACCATAAATCTGTTTAACATAACTTTTAATTAAAAAAGTCAGAAGCTGCACCTTGACCATTCTAACATGTATGCTCTAACATGACCATAGCGAAGGACACACAATGGGCTTCATTTCACACTCTTTTGAAAAAGGAAAAGGGGATTTCCTATTTCTATTATTTAGCACAATTTTGAAAGCCTTTTCCCACAGTGATATTTGAGCTAAAGTTCAACTTTAATGGTCAACGTGAGCATGATTTTGCTCTTTGAGCGTGACTGCACGGAACTTTGCAAGCCCTGCTGCAAGGCCTTCTCTCTCATAAAAGGGATGCGGTGTGGATGGTGCTGTCATTGTTATGTGAAAATTTCTATTTTCCAAGTCCTAACAGTTCATGTGTATAATTAGGTCAACAAAGATATAATTATTTTTTAAATAATGTATTTTTAAAAGATTGTGTTTTTTTTTAAAGAGAGGAGAGGGGAGGGAGAAAGAGAGGGAGAGAAACATCAATGTGTGGTTACCTCTCACATGACCCCCCACTGGGGACTGGCCCACAACCCAGGCATGTGCCCTGACTGGGAGTCAAACTGGCGACCCTCTGGTTCGTGGCCCGTGCTCAATCTACTGAGCTACATCAGCCAGGGAAGCAAAGATATAATTTTACCATTTGTTTTGTATCAAATAGTTCAAAAGGGGTTTTACGTGGCCCTGGCATCTTTAGTTCGGTCATTAATAAGTCCGGCTAAATATTTTTTGAGATTTGCATTCTTAGTCAGGAGGAATTTTCTGAGTACTCACATTATATTTGAAAATTCAAGATGTGACTCACACTCCAAAAAATATATGCATACCATTTTCTCATTTCGTTTTTTAAATATATTTCAAATAATAGATTAAAGCAATCAGCTGACAAGAGAGATGATGCATTAGATTGTGAGTAGATATAAAAACATGTGGGCTTTGAAAATGTGGTGCCTGGTTATTCCAATAAGAAATTCTGCTTCTTTTGTGAACTGAAACTGTTAAGCTAGACATATTTTTTGCAGAGGATTTAAAATGTGAACATCCAACAAAATAATTTCCTTGTGGTGTTTAAAGGATATTTTTATTTCTTTAAATCATAAAAGTTTCCCTCTTCAAATAGCCCCCACTTTAGTTTTAGAGATAAAAGTACAGCTGTTTGGATTATTCTCTTGCAAATTTTCACCCCTCTACAGTTTCCCCCGTATGTTAAAATAAAAGCCACTATGAGCAAAGTATCTAGTTCTGTAGCTAAAGCTCTCTGATGTGAATCACACTAACAAAAACAAAAAGATAGCCTTTGTGTTAAAAAATTATTAGAGACACTAAGCTGTTTTTAGGTATGCATTTTCAGAAAAGTGCAAGAATATTACGTTAATTCGGAATATGTTTTCTTTCATTCTTTTTGCATCCTTGAAAAATGTATCAGTATTCTTATTATTATTACTGTTTAATGCTATCGTTCTTTTATATAATACAGCGGTAGCTTAGAAAACAATAAAAGTAAATCCTTCCGCTGTGGTGGCCTTTGGGGAACAGCAGCCGTGGCTCTCCACTGCGCCGTGGCCAGGGGCCTCAACAAGGGCCACAAAGTGACAAAGAATGGGAGCAAGTGGAGGCGCAGCCGCAGTGGGCGCCTCACCCAGCACACCAAGTTCGTGCAGGACAGGATCCGAGAGGTGTGTGGCTTTGCCCCCTATGAGCAGTGCACCGTGGAGCTGCTCAAGGTCTCTAAGGATGAGAGGACCCCGAAATTCATCAAGAAAAGGGTGGGGACACATGTCCTGGCCAAGAAGAAGAGACAGGAGCTGAGCAATATCCTTGCAGCCAGGAGGAAGGCAGCAGCCAAGAAGGACTGCGCCCCATGCCCTCTGTGTAATAAAACCCGTTCCGAAAAAATAAAAAAGAATAAAAGTAAAAATAAAAATGAAGATGGTCTAAGCTGCAGCCTTCCCGTCCTGGAAAGCTCAGCTCCCTGGGCATGACTGCAGCTTTAGTAGAGGGCCAGAGCTCACTTTGTGACTTCAGTCCTTTTGCTTAAGGGCATTTCAGGCAGAAACCTCATAAGGTTGTTCCTTAGAATTAGCATGTGATCTAAAACTGGCTATGTGTATAACCCTTAATCCAAGAAACCAGCTGGCCAAGCACCGGTAAGAAAAAGAAAAAATCAGTTCAAAATGAGACAATGAGAAGTCGTAAAATATTGCTTTCCTCATCCACAGCTCCTTTATACGGGGCTTGAATAGTTGTCTTAAAATTTCTGTAATGTTTTTAATTGTGTTATAAACAAAATTTATACCTCACTTTGTTTTTCCTGCTAGCAAAGCCATTTGAATGATTGCTTGGCTCATGTCTGTGTGTGTGCTAAGTATTTTGACAAGAATGACTTCTTGACCTCAGGGACTCAGTCAGATATTAGAGTTCTGCTAACAAGCCTCATAAAAATATAAGAAACAGGTAATAAACCTGACATACATATTTCATACATGATAAGTTGAAATGTAGAATAATGAGTATCTGACACACTACAGCATGTGTAGTATATTAAGAGCTTGGCACAAACAGAAGACAAATGCCAGCCCATGTTTAAAGCTGGTATTCCATTCTCAAATCCAATCGCCAGATCTCTGCGATGACACACTGGCCATCCTAACTCAGAAATGTCGTGCAGAGCCCTCAGGGTAACCACTGGAATTATGTCAAGTGAGTTCTTTGAGAAATCATCTAGAAAAACAGAAGCCATATTAAGTAGCTTAGCCACAGCTGGTCAGGATGTTTCATTAGTGATATTTCTATGAACTTCTGGTTTAAAATGTTTATGGAAGTTCTATGAATTATAATAATAACTGAGCGGAAAATATGGCTGGCACTTTGCCTTACGGGTGGAAGTCTGAGAATGCAAAGAATGACTGAGAAGTGTTACTTCTTGGGCTTGCAAACACATGATGATTTCTCTACCCCAAATGCTGAGTCCTGGATGTCAAATCGGATACTGACTTTTTCACAAGGTCACTTATATTCAAGTAACATGCATAATATTGTAGAATGTCAGAGTTAGGAATAAATAGTGAAAGTAAGCAAAAATTTCAATGCCAATATGGTATTAATCTGCATGCTGCCTTCCTTCTGACAATCCAAAAAATGAATCTCTTCAAAAATAGATCCCAATCCTTAAAGAAAATGTCTGAGATTCAGTTAAAATTATTACATTTTTATATTTCACATCAGTAAATATTGCTACATTTTTTATGATGTTAACACTAATTTAGCACCACACTTAGGCAAAGTCACCATAAAATACAGTCATGTTTTCTTTCATGGCCGTGTAGTCCAGTAGGGAGTCTCTTATTTTTTTCAAAATGATTTAGAAAAGATCAATGTGTGGTCAGTAAATATTGCATATGAATTGGAAACAATTAAGTAATGCTCAGATATAATTATTGATCTCAATTGTACTATCCCATTTCTTATCACAAATACTAAACTATGTTGCCGATATTTTACATGGTTTTTATAGGGAACAGGATATTAGAGAGAAGCTGCATGACAAAAGATAAAAAGTAAATGCAGGTTTTTTATTTATGTATTTATAACCACTTATGTTCACAGATGTGTATTAAGAGAGTTCATTCCATTACCACAGAAAAGCTTAGGAGAGTTAAAAAGAAAAAGCTATAAAGGTTCAAATCAGTTTTTCCATTTTAGTTTTTCCCATTTTCTTTTTTCAATGGTATGTAGTACAGAATCTCACTTTTCCCCCACATCCTAGCAAAGTAATTAAAAGAACAGACCAGAGAATGACACTTCCTGGATTTAAATCTTGATGAGACTTGCAGATCATGTGAACTTGGGAAAGCTACTTGGAGTCTCTCATTTCTCAGTATACAACAAAGACAGTTCAGTACTGTTGTAAGTATTCATGGGTTAACATAGGATAAAAACTTAGCAGAGTGCCTCACCAAGAATAATTGCTCACTGGACATTAGTTATTGCTAATAAAGTAATTATTATTTCACAAGGATCAAGCTTTAACTACTTATTGCAGAGACTTACATGTATCAAGGACATGTGGACAAAACCAAAGTGGGGTAGGATCATGGGTAGGAGGTGGAGATGTCTGGGATGGGGGGAAATAAAGACAACTGTACTTGAACAATAATAAAAAAGTGTGAGAAAAGAAAAAAGAAAAGCAAAACCAACAGCAAGATGTAAGTTAAGCAAAAGTTGTGAACAAAGACTGCATCAGTTTTAGCCAATGGTGAGCAAAATTAAACCTGACCTCAAAAAGCTCACAGCTTAACTTGAAGAACAATAACTAAGTGAAATAAATGAAAGTTAAACTAACTGTAAATTAAAGAAATAGGATGGCCACACTGAAGCTTTATTATGTGTTGATGAACAGAAGTAATTGATTTTTACCAATATTAACCTTTATGGATAGTGTTTTAGGTGTACTGTCAAAAACCAAATAACCCTGTGACATCATGAACACTTTTGCTTATTTTAAATTGAGATATAATTCACATATCACAAAATCTACCATTTAAGTGTAAAATTTAGTGGTTTTTAGTGCCTTTACAAAGTTGTGAAAAGGATAAACTTACAGTAACCAGAGGGGGAGGGGTACTAGGAGGAAAAGGGGAAGGGTAGTCAAGGAACATGTATAAAGGACCAATGGACAAAGCCAAAGGGGGTAGGATTAAGGGTGGGAGGCAGGGGTGGGTGGGGTGGTGGAGGGTGCTGGGCGGGGGGAAAGTGGAGACAATCATGCTTGAAAAACAGTAAAAAATAAAAATAAAATAAATAAAATAAAATGTTTGCATCGTCTCAGAAAGAATGCCCACACGTACTAGTAGTCAGTCCTCCTCCATGCCTCTCAGTGCCTGAAAATGTTTGCTCTAACTTCTCTATAGATTCCTATCCCAGAGACTGCCTGTGTCTGGCAGCATGCAATTTGTGGCCTTTAGTGCCTGGATTCTCTCATTTAGCATAACAGGCCTAAGGTTCATCCATGTTGTAATTTGTATCAGCACTTCATCACTTTTTATAGCTGATACTTCATTCTTTTTCTAATGTTCTATTGTACTGTTAGACCAAATTGCATTTGTTCATCATCAAGTAATGCATCTCTAGATGGATTGTTTTCACTTTGGGGCCAGCGTGAATAATACTGCTATACACATTTGTGTGGACATATGTTTTTATTTTTCTCAGGTATATAACTAAGAGTAGAATTGCTGAGTCATATAATAACTCTGTCTTTAAACATTTTGAGGAACTATCAGACTTTTCTTTTTTTTTAATATTTTCTTTCTTTATTTTTTGAGAGAGGGGAAGGGAAGGAGAAAGAGAGGGAGAGAAACATCAATGTGTGGTTGCCTCTCATATGTCCCCTGCCGGGAACTGGCCTGCAACCCAGGCATGTGCCCTGACTGGGAATCGAACCACGATACTCTGGTTCGCAGGCCCCCGCTCAATCCACTGAGCTACACCAGCCAGGGCTCAGACTTTTCTAAAACAACTGTACTATGTTACATTCCCACCAGCAGTGTATCTACATTACACACACACACACACACACACACACACACACACACACACACGTATCAATATACATATGCCACACTAAACTGTAGTGTAAAGAGGTACATGTAATTTATGTAGTCAAGCTAAAATCTTGGGGCTGCAGGGAAGCAATGACAGAGCTACCATAAAAGTCATAAAAAATGTGGTGGTTACCTGTTTTATTCACAGGCTGGAAGGAGACACCAGGGAAACTTCTCAGGGTACTGGCAAACTTTTAACCTTTGATGTTGGTGGTGGTTGTATAAATGTTAATTTGTGATCATTCACTGAGTGGTAATGCTATTTTATTCTATTTTCTGCATGTGTATTATTCTCTACATTTTTAAAATTAGTGTTCTTTTATTTGTTTTCCTTTGTTTGTTGTTAAAGAAGAAAAATACTGAATGGTTACAATATTTTTCTTTTTCTTTCTTAAGAAAAATACTTCTTTCCCGAGTCCTCCTGCTTTTCCTCAGAGAGGAAGATAAATGCTTGTTGGAGGCTGTTACTTATAATCTATATTTTTCTCAGCTATTTCTGAACTTAGTGACACATGAGCCTTATGAAAATTTAAATTGCTTGGTTACTCTCAAATTTAAAATGTTTGGTATAAATTTTAAACATGCCTTTATCAATAGCTATTGCAGAGTCTGTCTTCTGTGTATTGTGTGTGGGCCATTTGAATATTATTTGGGAGAAAACGTGTAATAATGGGAAGAGTGGGGTAGAAGTCATGTGGCCAGGCTTCTGTTTCAATGATAGAATGGAATTATTTTAGTCCTGATGAAGTCCCAAGGATAATTGGCTGTATTGTCAATGAAAATGGAGTCAGTTGAAAATTATTCTCATTAAAATTCACTATGCATTAACCTTTAAAATCTGTATGCAAAGTTATGCAACGGGCTGGATGTGACTGCTTTAAAAGGCATTTTTTTGTCTTTTAGTTTTAAGATCAAAGCAGAGATTGCACAGAAAGTGCTTGTTATAAAATTCTATTTTATAAATAAATTTTAGCTCATCTAGGTTCTTTCATGATTTTGAACAATATACCCTATGAAATATAAACACCTATTTAAATATCATACAAATCAAAACATCTGTCTTATTGACAAGAACTTAGATATATGAAATAATTCCAAGGGTGATATAATTTAATATGCTATATATACAACTAGAAAACAAGGATTTTGTCCCGGCTGCTTTTCTATGTTAAAATTACTTACATGATTTGGGCCACAGATTTCTTCTTCATAAAACCAATGAACAGACCTCCCAACAGTAGTTGTCAAACTGTTTATACCCTAATAACCTTTAGATTCCCCAGAAATGAATGGAAGATAGCCATAGGAACAATGGGAGTTGATCAAGTATCCCATAGTTAATTCAGAAGAGTAGCCTCATATTTTTAAGATCATATATC